CCTGGAAGCGTCGCGCACGAGCTGGTAGAACCCTTTCTTCGCGGCCTCTGCGGTGAATTGGATTACGCCTATACGCGCCGGATCGGTGGAAGTAAAAAACTTCTTCCATTTTACCCCTCCGGGCCCCAACCTTCAAGGAATCCCCCAGCTTGACCAACAAGACATCCTGCTCCAGCTCCTCCGGGAGACCTCCGACAATGATCTGCCGAGTCTTCGTCTCGTCGTTGCTCACCGTCAGGTTCGGCCCCTGCTGCTTGGCCTTCTTCAGCTGCCCGAGCTCGGCGCGCAAACTGCGAACGCCTTCCATGGCTGAGCTAGCCAGCTCTGACGCCCGCTACGACTGCAGTCTCACGGCCTGCATCTCGTCTGCGAGTCGGGATACCTCGCGTCGTAGCGGCGCCAACTGCTGCGTCATGATGTTTGGGGTCGCTCGAATCTCCTTCATCAGGCGCCCCACACACACACACACACACATCCCCGTTGATCGCGCTGCTGCCCCCCCCCCCCCCCCCATCATCACGTCGTCATCCTCCCACGGGCAAGGCCCCGCACCGCGATCGAATCGAATAGCATCGCAATTCTCTCCGCCTGTCCCAAACTTCGATGGCGGTCTCTCAGGCGCCCATACCTGGCTGCCCCCGCTTCTGCGCACGACATGAGTCACAAACGTGCCAACAGCAATCTTCGCAGGCCCATCTACGAGCACCCCCCGGAATAATATCCCCACATTCGTCGCACTCGATGTCCGTCCTGTGCTGAGTCCGGACTAAATGGCGATTGCACTCCCCACAACTCGTGACCATCATTTCGCCAGCGCTGGAGGTCGCCACCCCAGTCGGACAAAAGAATCAGAAAAGACAATTGTAAGAAAGCAAAGTGCGATTAGAAGAATGAGCCAGAGTTCCTCCTAGAAGCGAGCCAGCCCTTGGCCAAAATGCACACTAGAGCGTTCGATGGCTGGGCCGAAACTTCGGCCGACTTTGCTGGACCACCCAGTACACATTCACATTCATGAGGACGTGGTGGCGTTGCCAAATTACGATGGTCGTTAACTTGGGATAGAATGACCCTCTCGTCGTTTCCGCTGGCACCGACATGCGAGTTCCCTAGACCTTCCCCGCGAAAGGGCCCGTCAGGCACGAGAGGTGCGCAATGTGGAAGAAATATATGACCTCGTTGTGCCCGTCGCAGAAGAAGACGCGGCTCTCGGACATCCCCAACCTGCAGTCGACGTTCTTCAGCCGCCTCATCGAGAAGAAGATGCTGATCTCCGCGCCAGGCCAGAGCCCCGATTTGATCCGAGGATCGCGTGGCAGGCATAGACAACCGCGGATGACTTGGCGACCATGCCCTCAACGGCGAGAGATGCGCTCGCTGCGGCAAGATAGACCACACCCAATAATCTTGGGGATTGCAAGCCACGCTGCGCCGCGCGCAAACACCTCTGGACAACCGTCATGTGGAGCACTGGGTGCAGCCAGCACTTTGACCCCGCGGCAAACGCTGGCCGGGGCGATGATTCTTGGCAGGAATGGCCATTCGTGGCTCGACTGCACAGCTTGTGTTCAGCACCACCATCATCATATGTTCGCTTGATCTGCAAACACCCGGCGCCCTTTGAGCTGGCCCCAGCGGTCAGTCGCCCGCGAAATTCACGAATCAATATGTCTTGCGTTGGATGTCCCGGCCACGAAGTCCATCACTGATAATAATATTGTTATCTGTTTGACCTTCCCGTTGTTCAGCTACGTCATTCACCGCAAGCCACCCGTCAAATGTATCCACAGACTTGACGCTCGATATCAATCCGCGGCGGAAGCCGCCCTCGCGGCGGGGATCGCGCCGACAGCATCTCGAAAATCATGTGAAAATAACCCCGTGTAGGTAGTAGGGGACGCTGTCGAAGCGCCCCCCGAACTCGGCGCCCTCCTGCTCCATCTCCTGGAGACGGAAAGGTCTCGATTGCCTTAAGTAGTTGCGGACTTGCTGCTGCTTTCGTTCCTGTTTTGTCGCGCAACGTCGTCGGCACAGAACCGGGCACCACCTTTCGTCGTCGCGAAAGCAACTGGCATCTGCTGGCGACGTAGCACGCACCGCACTGGTCGAAGCCGCGGTGTGGGTGGCAGGTGCCCCAGCAGCCAGTGGCAGTTGCACCTGCGAGCTGATCCGCAGGCGCCCCCGGGGCCCCTCGTGGTCGTCGATGCCGCCATGGCCCACGTGACCGACGCAGCGCCTACACCGCTGCATCGGCTGAGCCCGCTGCCAGGCGCGACGGCGCCGCTGACGAGCCCGCTGCTGGGCGAAAGAATGCTCTTGGACCTGATATGGGCGGTGGGTTCTCGATGGCAGGCCTCCAAGATTCTCGCTGCACGGGCACCGCCCGTCGCGATACCTCAGACTGCCTGGGAGCCAGGCCCATCGGACGCGGCGCTGGATCACCGACCTTGAAGGCCGAAGACCTGGAGACAATGTCGGACGATCGCTTAACCGGGGTGGCCCGACCACGCGGCACAGAGACCTCGGGTTATTTTCGCGGATACTTCGGCCTGGGAGCTCGAATATCGTGTGAGTCCAGGAAGCGCGCGAACGGTTTCCACCCGGCGACATCGTCCTCCAACTCCTCCCTTCGGGCCGAGTCCCTAGCGGCTCGCTGCCGAGCTGCGCCTGGCGTCTCGTCGTCGCCTGACGCGGATGCCACTGACGGCGCTTTCGAAGGCGCTCTCGACCTCGACGCATCCGGAAGAGATTGGGAAGTACTCAGTTGGCCCGAGAGTCCTGAGCACACCTGCCCGGTCGATCTCCACCCCTTGGCCCTCGCGCAAGATGGCGCGCCGGCCGTTTTTCCTTCTGTGCTTCTCGTTGCGCTTCATCGACTGGCGCCAGCCCCAGGGATGCTCTCGAGCCCTTCTTCTCGGCGAGCGCGCTTGGCGATCAGATGCGATGCTGTCTCCTCGGCTTCTTGTTGGGTTTGCAGAGATTGTGCCTTCAGCTGTCGAATGATCGCCTGGCGCTCTTCCTTCTTGCGAGTGTCCTCGCGCATCTCCTGAGCCCCGCGAGTCTCCTCGCGCGCTCCGTCCTCCTTCAACTTCTAATGCGGGCCCCTGGCCACGCGATGCGCCCGTGCCTTCATTGGGTCGCTCCGGGCTGGGATCTCGCTGCCGTGCACCATCGAAGTTCCAACGCTCCCACGTCCCCGTAGTCGCGGCTTGGCTGGACGATCGCGGGCGCCGTGAGTACTGCTGGCACACGTCGCAGCACTCTTTGCCGCGCACTTGGGCGCAGGACCTACGGGCGATAGAGGCCACCCACGACGTCACGGCTCAGCCGAAGGCCCAGGTGAAACAAGCACCTCGGCTTCCTGTCTGGTCGGCCCGGGCTGGACCGCGTCGCAGCCCTCCCCCCTCCCCCCACCCTCCGCTGCGCGTGGCTGACGAGAGGCACGGCACCTGAGGCATCACGACCCGCAGGAGAAGTCGTGCGCACAGAACCGATCGGCAGCATACAGTCAACCCGTATAGTGAGGACGCGAGGTAAGGATGCAAGCGGTGGGCTTGGTTTCCACCACCACCACCACAAGTAGGAGGGGGAGGGTTCCTCGTCCCCCTCTTGTTCCTCCTCCTCATCATCCTCCACCTCCTTACCCCCTCCAACTTATGGTGGTGGTGGTGGTGGTGGTGGAAAACAGGCCCATCAGCAAGGACCTTGGACGCCCATGTCAAAGCTTCTCGAGCGCGGCTCGGCCAACGGAAGCGGCGAAGGATGGGGCGAGGAGGCAATCATGCAAGGGTGCCCTTGGGAAGGTTGCCCATTCTTGCAATGCGGGTTGACCATACGACGTGCAAGGGAAGTCATGCACACAGAATCGATCGGCGAGATGTGAGGCAGGAGGGGCGAGAGAGAGGAACAAGAAAAAGAAAGGAGGACGGGAGAGAGGGGAAAGAGCAGAAGAGTGGTGGAACACACAGAACTCAACGGGTGCATGGTGGAGTGCACTGCCGTGGCTAGCAAGACCAAGGCGGAACGCGCCCGACAAGCGCAGAAGCGAAGCACGAGCACGCGGCGGATACTGACTGAACTGGAGAAGGCGACGGAGAGACCAGGCGGAAGACGGGGCAGGGAGCGAAGACGGTACGCTCTGAGTTGTCGGGTGCAGACGATCGCAACGCAGCAATGCTGACCTGGACGGGCTGTGAGCGCGCATTCGCACGCGGGGCAACGCGAGTGGCATCCGCGACGGCCGGCACCATGCAAATACTGATTGCACGCTACTCCAGGTGTTCGGACTGTCCTCTTCTACACTGGTCTGAATCCCCTACTCCTCCTCCTCCTCCTCCTCCTCTTCCTCCTCCTCTCTTTCCTCCTTCTCCTCCTCCTCCTCCTCCTCCTCCTCCTCCTCCTCCTCACCCCACTCATCCTCTCCCTGGTTATCCTCCTCCTCACTCCTCCTAATCCTGATCCTCATCCTCCTGAACCTCCTGCCTATCCAAGGCCCCCTCCTTACCCCACTCCTTGTTCTCCTCCGCCGCCGTCCCATCATCAGTAGCGCATGACTATAACTCCTGCCTCCTCATCCTCGTCGTCCTCCTCATGTCTTCCCCCTCGTCCCTCCTCCATATCATACAACTCCTGCGGCTGGTCCTGCTCCTGCGCATCGTCAATACCACCGTCATCAGAATTGCCATGATCTGCATCGGCATCAGCATCCTCAACATCGGCATCAGCATCGCACAATCAACATCAGCAACATAGTTATCAGTCTCCTCATCATGATCGTCATCAGGATCATCAGCAATAGCATCTGCATCGTCACAGTCATAGTCATCATGATCCTTATATAGCTTAATAATCATCATCCTTACTCATTATCGATCCTACCTGGCTCCCTCCGTCAGGTCAGCCCTCATGCGTTATCCCTGCTCCCTTCTCCGTCCCTCCTCGTCCATCCATCCTCCTTGGGTAGGGGGTCTGACGAGCAGGAAACAGGCATCGTCGTCTGCGGCGCTCAATCGCGAGCCGATGGCGTCCGCCTTGCCAGTCAGTCTCCTGCGCTGCACCAACGCTGCAAGGTAGACGACGCCAACGAAGACGACGACGACGACGACGACGACGACGACGACGACGACGACGACGTTGACGACGACGATGATGACGACGACGAGGAAATTGCGGAAATGCCTGTGAATTCGGGGCGCTGCTCAGAGAAGGGAGAGGAATGCAGCGGGGGCGACGGCGAGGGGGGAAGACAAGAAAGGACGAGGGAGGGGCGAAGAGGAAGGACGATGGGGGAAGGGACGAGCGAAGAAGGGAGGAGGGAAGAGGGGAGGCGATATGGAGGGGAGGAGGGGAGGAGAGAAGAGGGAGGAGGGAGGATGGGAGATGAAAGAGGAGGGAGAGGGGATGAGGGGAGGAAGGAGCAAATGAGGGAGGAGAGAAGAGGGTAGGAGAGAGGGAGGGAGGGAAGGCGAGAAGATAGAGGAGGGAGGAAGGGACATGAGAGAGGAGGAAGGGGGGATGACGGAGAAGAGAGGGGGGGGCAAGGAGGAGGAGGAGAAGAAGAAGGTAATTGCTGCCGTATCCCATCCTTCGGGGGGCAAGGTCTGAGCGAGCGAGCAAAAGTCACGTAATCCAGGGATCCCGTTTTCAGCTACTGTGATGCGTTCAGGCCGACTGTCTGCGCTCGAGTACGCTTGCGACTACTGCGCGAGGGATGAGTACGCAATGCAAAAACAAGTATGTTCTCGGCCTGTGTCGATGCACCGGGAACGGAGGTCGATACACTGGAAGTTAACACCCAGCAACGAAAATCAACCCGTGAAGATGGCAACGATGTCCGATACTCCAGAGAAGAGATCCCTACATCCATACCTGTCGGCCCCGTCCTCGGGAAAACTCTGGTGCTCAGGAACAGACTCGTGGGCGCCATCGGTTGTCACTCGTCGTTTCACCGACTTCCAGGTGTCACTGCACCGACCTTGCAAACGTGCTGCCGCGGATTCTTGGGAGGATACCTGTCAATGCAAAACCCCGAACGGCGAGTGAAAAGCGAAGTGAATTTCGCGTGGATGTTTGTTACTCTTCATTCCTGGCCCCCAAAAAAAAACGAACGAAATTCATCTCGAAATCCAGAACGCTATGGGCCCATCCGATCGTTTCCCGGACGAAATCCGCTCTGCGACGTTGGCGCCATGACAAGTGTGGGCCCCCTTGCAGCGTCTTCTGATACCTGGCCGCAGCAGGGACCCTCTGGGCCCGCGGACGATGGCCACACATGCTATCGCGGTGGTTCGCTGGGGCCGGGGCGGCCAGAACCGCGGCCATCCACGTACTACTACTACTACTACTACTACTACTACTACTACTACTACTACTACTACTACTACTACTACTACTACTACTACTACTACTACTACTACTACTACTACTACTACTACTACTACTACTACTACTACTACTACTACTACTACTACTACTACTACTACTACTACTACTACTACTACTACTACTACTACTACTACTACTACTACTACTACTACTACTACTACTACTACTACTACTACTACTACTACTACTACTACTACTACTACTACTACTACTACTACTACTACTACTACTACTACTACTACTACTACTACTACTACTACTACTACTACTACTACTACTACTACTACTACTACTACTACTACTACTACTACTACTACTACTACTACTACTACTACTACTACTACTACTACTACTACTACTACTACTACTACTACTACTACTACTACTACTACTACTACTACTACTACTACTACTACTACTACGACTACTACTACTACTACTACTACTACTACTACTACTACTACTACTACTACTACTACTACTACTACTACTACTACTACTACTACTACTACTACTACTACTACTACTACTACTACTACCACTACTACTACTACTGTTGTAACCTAGCGCCGCTCACACGCGGCAGAGCATGGGCAAGCCCACGTCAACGGCGGCTGCCAAGGCCTCTACCTCGAGCGCGTCCCAGTGCGCGATGGCCTCAGAAACCTCCCAGCGCGCCAAAAGCCAGCGCGAAAACCAGATGCGCCTGCACGTCCGCTCAATGAGTGCAACCGCCGCGTCGTCGAACCACTGCTTGACGGGCCTCCTCAGCGTCGCGCCCAGCCTATCGATCATCGACAGCAGCAGGCGCGCCGACGCGTCATTGTCCAGCATGTGGAACAGTCCGACAGGCAGCTCCTGCACCGAGTGGGCCAGCAGCAGCGCGTCACGCTCTGACAGCGACAGGATGCGCGCCCCCTTCCCTATGCCCAGACTGAGGACCGGGTGCTCCCGCAAGCTCCGCAGCCAGTCCTCCAGCTCCGAGGCCTTTGTGTACTCCTTGACGGACGCCCCCTTCTTCGTGAACTGCCCGAACTCGCGCCGCAGGAACTCGTACGACACTCGGTTGCCAAGTGGCGGGGTGGCGACCACCGCGCGTCACTCCTTCAGCTGCTCTGGGGTGCCCAGCACGCCGCAGAGCCGGTTGTGCATCCGGTCGCGCAGTAACATGTTGTGCTCGATGGACCAATGGATCTCGGCCAGCCGCACCTCCCGGGCATCCGGCTTGCGGTTGCGCAGGCACATCAAGCCGCACAGCTGCGAGGTCGGCCTGAAGGCCGACAGCGCCAGCAGGTTGTCCGGCAGCGACACCACCGGCCCGAAGCTGACCACGCGCAACACCTCGCCGCAGTAGCGACTCGCCACCTGCACCACGTCGCTCACGCACTGCAAACTGGGTGTCTCCGCCTCCGCGTCCACGCGGTTGAGCTGCCCGGCAAGCCCGAGGCTGCTCTTTCCCCAGTGCGGCGGGAGGATCACGACCGTCACCAGCTCGGCCAGCGGCACCCACCGCCCGCGCACCATGGCCGCCAGCTTGCCACGGGGCACCGCGGCGCCCCACTTCTCGACGGCGGCGATGTAGTCGACCGTGCCCAACGACTCAGCAACCATCTCCTCCGGAACCGGTAGCTTCGCCCTCACTGTGGCCATCTTGGTCGGCTTGACCAGCGCCCCACCAATGCGATCGCGCTCCTCCGGCGACATGCGCCCCACTGCCTGCATCCGCAAGCCGGCAAAATGTCGCGCGTAGCCGGGCGGCAGCTTCTCCATATTCTCGTAGTTGACGGGGGCCTCGGAGCAGGGAAGGTGCGCGAGCGGCGTCGGCCCCCACGCCCCCGCGTGCACCACGTCCCTGTAGCCCCCGCGCGCCGAGGGGATCTGCATGACCTTGCGCTGTAGCTTCCGCCGCCCGGTCAGCCCCCGCTTCTGCGCGAAGTCGCCTAGCCATGGCGGCTCGTCATGCCCGCGCAGCACGGTGAGGGCAATGGCGCGCCGACACCAGCAGGAGGCCCCGCGTCTGTACACCTTCATGGCGATGTCCCCCCCTTTCTTCAGCAGCGCGCCCAGAAACCGCGCCCCCCGCACCGACACGTCGCTCACCACCGCGTTGCCCAGCGCGCGCAGGGGGTAGCCGTAGCAGCCGCTCGCGCAGTACCGTACTCTGAGGAACTCGACGCCCTCACGGCTCAGGTCCTGCGCCTCTGCCCGCAGCGTCTGCCCGCTCATCTCCAGCGCATGCACCAGCAGCGCCGCCGCCCAGAGCTCCGCGTAGATGGCCCCGTCGTCGCCCGAGCAGTAGTGAAAGATCAGAACGATGATGAACGAGCACAGCACGAACACCTGGTGCATGGCCGCCCCCACGCACTCGATCTGCCCGCACAGGTTCACCCAACCCGCGGCGCGCAGCCCGCTGCATAGCCGCTGCTTGAAGGCCACCAACTTGCCGCTCACCGTGCGGAACATCACGTTCAGCGCTGCCTTCGCTGACCATTGCATGCTCTGCTGCCAGTCGTGGCACGCCGCATGCGGAACGCTGCGGCTCATACTCTCGGACATAACCCAAAAGATGCCGCTGATCCGCTTGCTGTGGCGCAGCGAGTTGAAATCTGGCCAATCGACTGCCAGCCACACCAACGTGCTCATTGTCATCCAGACGCCCAGCAGTTGCGTCCAGAAGGTTGAAGCAATCGTCCTCCGCACGTGCAACGCGCCCGCCGGGTCGGTCGGCGCGCCGCGCCCGTTGGCCGCGGCCACCTTCTCCACCCGGCCCATGGCGTGCGCGTCGACCACGTAGCCGTCCATCTTCTCCGGCGCGATCAGCGCCCGGGCCTTCATCGCCTCCAGCTTCTGCGCCATCTTGACTATGATCCTCGACTTGCGAGCGCGCACCTCCGAGGCGCACTTGAGGTTGTCCTTGATCACAGCCGCCAGGCGCTTGCTTGAGCGCGGCTTCACGCGCTCGCCCCGCTTGTTGTAGATATACTGCTTCTCGCGCCCCGCCGCCCCGTCCGCGACCGTCTCGGGCATTGAGGCCCACCACTCGTCGAGCGTCTCGTCCTGGATGCGGTCAGCACCCGACCACGACTTGAACTCGCGCTTGAGCACCTCGCGCCCAATCCGGAAGTGCCCCTTCCGACTGCGCGCGCTCGTCGCCCTGATTGGCGGGCGTGACCACGCGGAGGAAGACCTGGTTGGTGCCCTTCGCCACCTCAGCGCCCCCCGGCGCCACATAGCGCGACCTGCCCATGCCGCGGATGCAATCAATCACTGCCGACTGCCCTGCAACACACAGACGCAACGGCAGCTGCGTGTCGCCCGGGAGCAGCCCTTCCAGCCACGGCTGCGTCTTCCCTTTGCAGGCGGCGTTCTTCAGCGCCTTGATGCACTACTACTACTAGTATTACTACTACTACTACTACTACTACTACTACTACTACTACTACTACTACTACTACTACGACTACTACTACTACTACTACTACTACTACTACTACTACTACTACTACTACTACTACTACTACTACTACTACTACTGGCGGTCTCGCGCACCACATCACCACGGCTCAACCACCTAGGGCAGAGCGTCCATGTGGCTGCCTCATTGCCAGCATGCAGCGCGCACCTCTTCTGGGCGAAAGGGCGGGTCTGACATGCTTGTAGCG